GAACATATCAATAAAATCTACACAAAATTCTCTATCTTTTAGCATCAGAACCAAACCTTCTGGTCGAGTCTAATTTGAGAAAAAAGCCTATCAAAAACCGGCAATTTCCTCTGCCGTACCCGTTATGATTTAAATATTTGATGTGGTATTCGAATATTTTCTTTTCTAAATATCTTTAATACGCCCAAAAATGATTCATCTCCAAAACAACTAATTGAAATAAAGCCTCATTTTCTTCAACTTGACTTGGTAAATATTTGTGTGCATGCATAGAGTATAACCTGATCTTGGACCATAAACGGATAACATTCCTGCACGATACGTATCTATTGTCGATCCAAAAATTCAGTGGACTCGGATATCTTTTGAATAGCTCATAACCAAATAAAGATAGATACTTACGGTTTTTACGAATCGATAGCCAAGGCTTGAGGTTAGCTTTCCCCAAGTAAAACTAGTTTTCGGAGAAATTTCGAAGCCGGTTTTTCAGAGGCTCTTTGGATAACTAGCTTGGATTTTCGAAAATTCAAATAGGAATCTATTGATTTTTTTCATAGATAGATAGTCCAAAGTGTCCTGTACAAAATGGAATCTAAGCAAAAGTTTCATTGTGCTCAACTCGAGAATTCTGAATGTTTTTCCCGAAGCAGTAAGATTCACCAGTCCTTCAATCCCGGGCCTTTGAAAATACATGAAAGCATAGATTACCGACTATACCGAATCTCGTGACAATGTTAGTTTTCAGAACAAAACTCAAAGACCGAGCGAAAACCTATGCGAGGTGAAATAACCCATTTTGGGCTATTTTCATCAAAAATTAGAAAATTTTTCAGTGAAAATCCAATGTCTGAAAATACTCTATTTTATCTGCAGTATTGGATGATTGGATTAGCTTTAAATAACTGAAATCGCAATTGAAATTAAATATTGTTAATAGCAAATATCACTAGCTATCAGCAATTTTAATTCAGGTACTAAATGTGTAAATAAAATAGATGCTATTAGTTCATTTTCAGATAAGTATAATCCAAGTAGGAATTTATTTTTAGCCTGTTCATGACATGGAGATGGTATTTCAATGATTGTTCCGCTAATAACATAAAATGTCTTTGGTTTTATTGTTACTATGGGTTTAGTCGCCGTTCAACAGTTCTGTTTTTCGACAGACAGCTTCGACACTGTCGAATTTTTTGCTCGCAGTTCAACATAGTCGAAGCCTGTAGAATTTCGAGTGAAAATTTTCGACGCTGTGGAATTTCGTGCGAAAAATTTCAAACGACTAGAAATTCGACAGATTTTTCGCTTCACTTCTCTACTAGAGAGGAAAAAGCGTAAACACGTAGAGGCGTAGACAATCTCTAAGCCTGTACGTCACATCACCATTTCACTATGTCTTTAGAAAAAAAACATCAATAGTCTTTGGGGCTTAGTGACTGGACACTGAATGCGGTCTGGTCACTCACTCTCATGCTCCCCGTGCTCTCTCGAAACACGCTGTCGAAAAGTGTTTCTGTCGAACTGCGAAATTACCTTACTATGCTCATACCATCCGCATGTAACATCAAAGTTAATTTATTACATTTAATATTAGCATATAATTGTTTATAAACTGAACCATTAATGACATCATTTGGTAATAGTACATGTGCATGTTTAGGATAATCAAGTATTAATGATAGATTATGTTTTGTTATACGTTTAATACGTTCAACTAAATTTTCATAATACAATTCAGTTATACCATCTGTTGTACGAGGTTTACCATATAATAAACATTCGATTGTACAATTACCTACCGATGGATCAGTCTTTTGATAACAACGTACACATTTTGTTTCATATAAAAACAATTCTCTTTTTTTTAATGAATGTACAATTCCTAATTGTATAAGATTATGTCCAGATGGTAAAATCTATAGTACCAAACATATTAAACATAATACATACGTAAAAGCTAAATTAAACTTACTAACAAATTTTTTATAGCTTTGAGAATTTTGCTTTATTTGAGAATTAATACCCATTTATGGGTCTATTAATACACATATTGTGATAAAACATCAGATGTAAAACGCAAGTAAAGAAGATAAGAATTTTAATACTAGAGAATTTTCCATACATCGTTAGAAGGATAAACCGAGAGAAATGGAGGAGGAATGTGGGAGAAAGAGGAATGAATTTTTTTTTTTTTTTTTATAGCTTTATATGCATGCATCATTAAGAGTTTATCTTTCATCTTGACATAAAAAGGAAAAAACTACTCATTAAATAGAAGAAGAAAAAAGACCACCAAATAGAAAATATAATCTTAGAAAACAAGGTAGGAAACACTAAGTTAATTAGTTTGAATATTTGTTCTATAAACATATACGGCACGGACTTTAGTTGTAAAGGCTTGAATTTTGGAATATTTTAAACTATAGAAAATTGTTTTGTTTGCTAATGATGAAGATGGAGTCTGTAAATTGGGACGTTTGATTTTTTTTCTCGGAATTTCGTCTAAATTTTATCGGATAACATAATCTACTTATACTGCTCTTATAGCTCATTTTCTTCTAAATCAACAAATTCTTTAAACATGGATGATAGAGAAGTTACATTGATATACATATATCTAAAAGTATTCATGATTGCAGAAAGCTGATCAGTGACACTAAAATCAACGATGTCGCTTTTGCTTTTCTTCCTGTCTGACGGTATATCTCATCTTCCTCACACAATATGCATACAACTGCTCTGTTAAAGAACAAAAATGTAAGAAAATAACTTTCTCGCTTTCTTTTCGGGCGAATGTAGTGTGATGACATACCACTGCCTTCAGTTTCAAACTTTTTCTCACACAATCAAAATTTGATGATATTTTCCTAGAGAAAGGGAATTTTTTGAAACTTAGATATTCGGGATGTGTGTTATTAATTACATTTAGTGTGTATATTCTGTAGTAAGGGAGCATGTCAAAATTTATTCCGGTCGGTCGCTATTCCTCTGTTCCGCACACAACATTTCGTTTTATAATAACTTTTATATACATGTATATAGGAGTTGTCACTTCATCCAGCGTTCAAGAATGTGAGTTTCGGTTTAGTTCGATTTCTATTTTTCTTTGACAATAACTGACTTCTTCTTTCCTCTACTTCAATGTTTCAACATTAGAAATATTCGAAAATCGATATCGTGTTAAGATCTTATTTTGCCCGAAGTATCATTGCGAATGTGCGCTTAGTCAAGAAAAATATCAAGAGGAGGAGTATGATGGAGCACTGTTTTTGGAAAAAAAAAGAAAGGGATACTCTTTTTCCCAAAAAGAGTGCTCCAACTCAAAAGGAGTACTCCAAAAACTACCATGTAGTACCCACAAAAATGAGTACTCCTGAATGCTCCTTGTTTTGAAGTGCTCCGCAGTGCCTCGGCTGCGCTTTATAAAAAAGAGTGCCTCGAAGCACTCCAAAAAAGAAGTAGTCCTTAGTACTCCGAATAAGTGATAATTCTATCTAGTTTTATTCGGAGTACTAAGGACTACTTCTTTTTTGGAGTGCTTCGAGGCACTCTTTTTTATAAAGCGCAGCCGAGGCACTGCGGAGCACTTCAAAAAAAGGAGCACGCAGGAGTACTCATTTTTTTGTGGGCACTACATTGTAGTTTTTAAAGTACTCCTTTTGAGTTGGAACACTCTTTTTGGGAAAAAGAGTAATGTATGCTTGAAAACATCACTCTTCACTAGTAATATCCAAAAAAGTGAATGTTTACACCTCCAACTAGAAATGAATTACCCACCATTTTCTCGAGTTTTGAAAGAGATTTCTTTTAATATATAATATAGACCGGAACCTGGGTTCTTTCAGGATGAAAAACTGAAATACTATCGTCCACTATGCTGAAAAGGTCATTTTTAACAGTAATATTCCAAAAACGTGAGTGTTCGTAACTATCAATTATCAGTGCCATATATTCTTTTTTTCATTTTTTTTTCTACTGCTGAGCTTTTTCTTTTCTTACAAAAGAAAAAAAAGAGAGAATCACCATACCATGTAAGTACGTCATTTTTTACCCGAGTTCATTTAACACTTTTTCAATTTTATTTATGACAAACGAGAAATGTTCAGAAAAAAGATTAGTCATTGGTTTTTTTTTATATAAAAATAGTTAGACATTTTTTAGAGACACGCGTGATTTTTTATCATTACGAGTTGTACTCTTAGTTAAAAGTCTTTTTTTTTGAAAAAAGGTAGAGAATAGAGAAAGATATGAGAAGCACAGAAAGAGTACACATTATTATATATTCGCCAAACGAGGGAGTAGAACTAGACAAAAAAAAATTAGTTTAGTTTAATAAACTACAAGTTTGTTGCCACTTTTGTAAATTGATCAGGAATGTGTTATTTTTTCTCATTCAGTATGTATACATCACTATTTTTTTGACGAGAACTTTTGCTAAATTCTACACTTAATCGTAGACAACGGAGAAACTGGCTGTATGCGTGATTATTCAGAATTCGCTGAAAACGTATCGATCAACTTAGAGAGCGTTTCAAAATCTATTACAGTTGATAATTCATCTATTATGTGAGTATTTCTGTATTCTGCTGTTATCCGAATTTCATTAGATGTATGCAGGAGCTTGATCTTCTTTTCTAACTGATTTTGATTACTTCTTCAAAGACAATTAACCGCTATGTTTTAAAAGATAGTTCTATCAATCGATCAAAAACTTATACTTTTCTTTTACAGTTTATTCTCGTAGCTTCCTTAATGCGTCAGAAATTTAAACCAATTAGTATAAAATTGGGTGTTATTTGGAACGAGTAAATTTATACTATTCTGTCTTTCCAAATTGCGCCCAGTTTTTAATTAGTGAGTAATTAACAATCGTAATTTAAAATATAAATATATAAATTAGTCGCTTTTTAGAAAAAATAGAAGTAGAAACATATATAAGAAGAATTGATGACTTATATGAGAGAAACGTAACTTTCCGGCAGAATCAATAAAAAAAATGACAGTGTTCATTAAAAAATATTTGAATGATACGTTTTGTTTCCCTGTCTTTGCCGAGTATCCTGTAAAAATTTCTCAACTGCCAGACTCATACTGGCTGAGTTAGGAGGGAGACAATTTTCAGTTTTTGCCATAGAGAATTTTTGGCAGGATTTTGCTAGAAAAAGGGTTGAAATAGATGTATTCTACATCGTTCGACAGAGAATGATTCGAGCATTACACTGTGGGACTGTGAGCAAATGCGCAAATGCGTGAAGCCGAAAAACCGCAGAAAAGTTTTTTCATTCTTTAGTGTTAAAATCTAAAAAGTCCGAATTTCGTTATGTGATTCTGCTTTCAGAATTATCCATTATTTTAGCAAAGACTTTAGATTTCAGAGCTCCAAAAATTAGGTGGTCAAACTTGCCGCAGTCTGAGGAGTCGACTGATGTACGGTATTGATGATTTTCGTTTAGCTTTGACCAAAAATCCACTCTAAAAAAAATGCGTCTTAAAATAAGACACCATAAGTCGGTTGACGATTAGTCGCATACATGGGTCTTAAAATAAGACGGATAGAAGCGTCTTAATTTAAGACCCGTGTATGCGACTAATCGTCAACC